TGGCCTGGTAGTACTGTGGAGGCAGCTGCTCGTCGCTGTAGTTATTGCTCATCATGATGGCTTTTTCCGTGTCCACTTTTATACCCGGGTGACACTTAAGTGTTGAATTGTGCGCTCGGCAGCGCAGAAAACTTTAGCGGGTCGATGGCAAGCGAAGGAAAGTTCAAACTTGGAGGAGTTTAAAAAGCAGCCTAGAGACTTTTCGGATGTACTTGCGAAGAAAGCACTGAGGTCAAGGCAGTGATGGATTAAATTATCCGATTTACAACGTGCAAGGCAGCTGGTCGTCGCTTTTTTTTAATTGGCACCCTCCTGACAAGTCGGTCCTTTCTAATATGGCCCCGAGAAGAATGTCGCTTTTTGAAGAATGGAGGTTGGTGGCAGGTGAGCTGGATCAGCACTGTAGGAGTTGACTCTGAGCGTGTTTAACTTGACTGTTGAGAGAGCAAAGACGTGGGTTTATAAAGGACCCCGGGCCACGTCACTCAGCCTCTGTGATCATAGTCTATTTGTTAATCCATAAGGATAACGGGAGTCGGGGTCGGTTTACGGGGAGGATGGGGCAGGGATTGGTCAGACCCCGGCAGCGCAACAGTTGCGGCATGCTCCTTATTTTTAGGCGCTCCTATTTGGGCGCATGGGGGCTGGGACTTACCGATTGTTGTGAATGTGTGTCATGCTCAGGGTCCAAGCGGCTGAACAATTGAGCTAAGAAAAGAAAATGAGAAGTGTAGTGAGTTTCCCTGTCCCAATAAGTTGTCAGTTTACAGAGAATAATTATCCAAAAGTGTAATTTTTACACATCGACATCTCTCACTGAGGCCACAGAGACATATTTTAAAGCATGAGGTCATCCTGATGAAGATGAAGCAACTGCATTACGTGTGTTTCACATCTATCTGCCACCACTGAGTGAACAAGCAAAGGTCAAACAAGCTCAGGATGGGATATAGGTTGATATATAGCTTGATATTAAAGGAAAACTGTTTATTTAGGTTTGATATGGAATTAAATCAGTTTTCTGCACCAACAAGTACTGGAATAGTATTTAAATATACTGTAGGACATGTGTTCAATTATATAACCAACAAGACAAAAGAGTAATTGTTCACTTTCAACTCACAAAATTTAAAAATGTATATACGCTAGCACAGTTTACACATTTAAAATGATCTTTTCAGGCCACATAATTTGTTTTTGTCAAAACCAGAAAGGACAGAAACTGAGCTGTCAGTTTACAGAAATTTCGAAAACGAATCAGCACCAATTAATATTATTTTTGCTGCAGGTTTCGGGACCGTCACTGTGTTGTGACTCAGCAGTCAGTGACATGGCAGTGACACCAGATGCCAGCAGCAGCCTTGATGAAGTAGTGGAAGGTAAGAATAACTGTGACACATGCAGAAAGCATTCTTGGGATACTCAGTCTGGACACAGACAGGGGTCCCCATGTTGATCCCCTACCAAGTAACACGATACTCTAAAGTTTTTAACCAGTTGTTTAACTGTTCTACAACTAATTTATCAAATTACTCCATGTACAATATGAATCACATACACTGTAAAGTCACCAGTATAAATTTAAATGATCTTGTCACTTGTGTCACGTCAGAGCCAACCAGAAAGCTCAGGTCATGTTTGTGAGTGTGATTTGTTTCCGTCAGGACAGAGATTTTAACTCTGTTGTTGTGTCCACAAAAAATGTCTCTTACAAAACGTATCGTCACACTGACATATCATGGTTACAGGTCTCATGTTCTAACTAAATACTACCTACAAAAGCTGAACTGCATCAACATCTGTCACTTTGAGTTGGTTACACGGTGACACTGTATATTTTATCTTGAAAATGAAATAATATTGTTTTTGTCCGTATCTCCCACCCTTGATAGGAAGTGTCAGGTATATGTGAATAAAGTGAAAACCAAATCACAGAACTGTATCCGTTGAGCTAGACACTGTTTACTATATCTCCAGGGGAATGCCCATGGCTGCTCTCACAGTCAGCTCTCCTTTTAATTAGCTTTCTCCCTGTTAGCCTGTCAGTTGAATATAGCCTATTAAATATTTAAGAAGGGATTTGGGGTGAATGTGTTGGACAGATAGGCACGAGGCCGGGGGCCAGTTGATTAGATTCACTGGTGATCTGGATCTGACGTTTTGACCATTAAGACACTTCATTTCTTTGGCCATAACTCTGAAAGTGAATGAGACAGAAACCTGATTCAGAATCAGTGGGGAATATTTCCAGGCTCGGGAACCTAATTTAACTTAAACCTCAAGTGACAGAAGGATGTTCAGTGAAGCATCATGCTAACTGTACCCCATGACTAGTTTTTCATGAAGCTGCATATCCAGGCTGCTTTTACATAATTAGCTTAACATAGTAAAACATGAGTCGAGACAGTGGAGTAATGAGTGTGGTTTAGAAGCCTCATCGGTAACACTGACACACCAGTTCCTGCCATCTGTAAAAAATCCAGGTCTGTGAGCTCATGTCACGTCTCTGGAGTGAAGGTTATTAATATCCACACAACCCGTGTAACGTGATGCCAGGGGAGAGATGGGTCTCACTCAGGTTGACTGCTTGTGATTTCATGAATGGGATTCCACGACACCTTTAACCCTGTGACTGTGTTAGCTGGTGATGCCACCTCCCAGGAAAAGAAAGCTCTCAGACATCATGTGGGGTGATTATATTTATTTTTTCAAGTCATTTACAGTACAAAATAGACCTCCAGGTAACAAAATAGCCACAATTATATTGAAAACAACACTGCTATTAATATGTAAAGCAGCAAGCTGAGCAACACTGTGGAATATAGAAGCTTATGAAGCTATGATAAAGTTAATATTCATGAAATAATGATAATGTCCTGAATCCAACAACATTCATATGTACCATTGCAGTCAATGGGAATTTAATTTCTATTGCAAATTGAACAGTGACAACATATGCAGTCCACTGGCACATTATTTCCGTAGTGTATGTTCATATGCAGAAACACCAGGCTTTGCTTATCAAGGTTCTGTTTAATGACGAACGTTACAGAAACCATTTCACTACATTTCTGAAATTTAATGGAGTAGAAAAAACCAGGAGACATATTTGCTCGTTCTGGCAACTAAGGTCAAACGTAATCTAACTATACCTCTATACTATAACTCTTGAACATAGAGGTACTGGAAATGATTAGCAATGCTAGTAGGTCCTCTGAATAACGCCACCATAAATAAACATTTACATAGCATATAATTTTGCTATCAAATATACGATGCTCTTTCAAAATAGAATAAACTTTCTACAAAGCTAGTACAAATGGATTTAAGAAATATCTCTCCCATAGTACTTTATGTCACATCTATTTACATGAAATACAAAGTAACATAATCAGCATAACCAACATAAATTATATATTGTGCTTCTAGATGTTTTATAGCATGCTTTTTTCTGTCCTAAAAGATTTTCACAAAAAAAGTTTCACAAATGTAAACAATAATCAGAGTCCTTCCACATATACATATATATTTTGTAATTGATGCTTAGACAAATTAAAATTTTCTGACACCTTCTTATTTACATATGTTGGAACCATGTCAATGACTAAATGCCCACACAAACAACCAACCATGATCATTCACTTCACCATAATCTGGGTGTGGCCAGATGCCAACCGGTGTTGATCAGATCTGCAGTCTGTCACATAAAGCGTGTCATCAGTAAACAAGGGAATGCTGTTAGTCAACATTATCACACTGTGTACCTTTAACAAACCTGCAATCACTGTAAATCTTAATAGCGACACACTTGGAAAAAGCAAACCTTTTAAATCCTGCTGGAGAAAAAGAAAAAAGTTTATTACTCCACATCGAAATGTAAGAAAACATAATTATATAGCTCAATTATCCCAGAATTTGCTCCCACAGTTGCTGAGATATCTTTATTATAGCGCATAACAAAACGACAGCAAAACCTGTTTTAAGTGTGTTAATGCAGCTGTGGGTGTTAGGCCTAAGTGTTGAGATTTTCAAAGTGAACCGTGAGCTGGCAAGATGAATCAGAAACACTGCGCTGACTTTCTTGCATCTTGGTTAACTGATAATTAAAAGGGGGACGTGGGAGTCGTCTGATTTCAGAGTCAGACACAAGACAATGCTTGGGCAGGCGGACAGACAGAGCTTGGAGCAAAACACATCACTGAAAGAATGCGAAGACGTGCTACCTCCACCCACCAGGGGTGATGTCAGGTTGAACATTAGCTTTATACACTGACAGGTGCTTAATTAACCATACCTGTTCTCCTTGTAATAGCATATTAATGGTGTTTACAATGGACATAATTGATATCTAATGTTGGGAATGGCAGAGTAACAGTGGCAGAATAGTAGATACAGTATGTTAATTCATGAATATATTTAGATTTTTAATACATCTTTGCAGGGGGGGGGGGGGGAACTGATAGTACAACTCATTAACAAAAATGCAAACTGTTCTCTGTTTTTTGAGGGTTTTCAGTGCGTTAAATGTTCGGACTCCAGGCTCCTTGTTATTTTCAAAGACAGCCATGAACAATATTTAAACAAACAAATAAATAAATAGTTAAATAAATTGAAAACCATTTGGTGCACATCAATAATCAAAATCTTCATGTTATCACATTGTTTAGCTAATGAAGAGAAAAATATATTCACAGAGACAAAGGAGAAAAGACAGCACTAGCATACATTTAGTGGAGTGAGATCATTCCTCATGTGGGCTCTCTGCAGGTCATCGTCATAGCAATCTTCTCATCGAACGCCAATTAAATGGGACTGAGAGCATCATTCTCCGTTTGTGTGTGCATGTAGTACCTTCTCATTACAGATTAAATTTCCCGTACATTTTTCTACCACTAAGTTGTCGGCTCTATCACATTTAGAGAATTCCAGTTCAGTCTATAGACATGGCAGGAGAGAACGAGGGCTGGTCTGAAGCAGACGTCTGTCCCTGTGCAGTTGTTGCCCATCCAAGTCAACATCGGACGAGAGCTCTCAACAAGCTAGTCATCATTAGCAGCACTGCTGTGGCTGCAGTGACAGTCAAAATGGAGTTCCAACCTACCTCACTCCCCTGAGGGAAGACAGGAAAAGGAGAGTGTTAAGAGTCAGTAGTGACTATCCATCAGCCACAAATAAACCAGACTGGGCTTTTAAAGGAGAAGTTCAACAGCTTTCTTACAGAGAGTGAGATGAGAAGACTGTTGCCACTCTTATGTCTGTATGTTTAATAGGGAGCTGGAGCCAGGCTGCTTTTAGCCTTTCTTAGCATCAAAAATGAAGCAGCAGTAAACAGCTAGGCTAACTCTGTCCAGCACCTATGAAACCCAATAATTTGCATGTTGTATCTTGTTTTTTTAAACACACAAGTTTTTTGTGGTTTAAGGGGAGTTACTTGCTGTTTCTATTTCTTAAGGAACAACACTTTATCTGTTCATGCAGCGTCTGTCTCCTCTGCTTGTGGTGACAATGAAGACTCCAAGCGCTTGGCAAACAGTTAGCTAGTTACAGCTCAAAACTCCCCCTAAGACCACAAGTTATTGTTTTTACATTTCTGTTTGTGCACAGATTAAACTAAAAAGATACAATGTATGAATTATGAGTTTCAGAGGAGCTGGAAGGCATATTTTTGAATTCTGGACAGAACCAGCTGTTTCCACCTGTTTCCAGTCTTTATGCCAAGCTAACCATCTCCTGGTTGTAGCTTTATATTAGAGTGGTATCAATCTTCTCATTTATTTTGGCAAGGAAACAAATAGGCCTAAACTTATTTCCCAAAATGTTGAACTATTCCTGAAAATGACCTATCCAGTGTGATTCAAGGAAATATTTAGTTTTCATTTGACAAACTGCCCACCCGTCCCATGTCCACTTTCCATGAATACTTAATATCATTATCTTTAAGTATCTTAATTTACTGGAGATTTTTCCCAGCCTTAAGTTTAGACCCTCCCATAACAACCAACGAGTGACAGAGATTCCCAATAATTAATATTAAAGGATCAGCTCACAAAACACATTTACCTCTAATGCTCTTCAGCCATGCATTGAGTTATGTTTTTATTTTCCCAGATCAGCCACAATACAATGGAGGTGAAACATATTTTGATTTGTGATTCTCAGCATTTAAAAATTACATTACATTTTTTTCAACAGCAACACACTTTTCCAAAAACTTTGTCCTGGTTACTCTGTTACTGGTTACAGAATTGACTCTTCATGGATTTCACTGGAAATGAAGCATAGCGTCAGTTCAGGCAAAACACTGAAGTCATGCTTACATGAACTGATTGGTATCAGCTGTTTAATTATTGCTTCACAGTCTCCAGTTGATTCATCAGCTGGTTATCTACCAGCTAACTATTTCGTCCAGTCCTATTCCTGCAGGTGTACGGTGCAGCCGCTCTAACTTGATACTTCTCATGATTGCTCTCTTAATACCTTCCTCATGTTTATGACGGGGGAATTAGTTCTCCCAGAAGAACCACCATTCCTGCTCCTTTTGAAAGCTCCCTCAAAAAGAAGGGTCTTTTTTGCCGACTCAGTCTTTTTCAGAATTTGCTGTAAATGGCTGGTTCCTTCACTTTAGTGTCTCAAATGAACCACTTCCTGCTCAATGAAGTGTGAATGGAAACTGTAGACAGATTATTAAGCGTGTCTAGAATTTCAAGAACGATCAGAAACCAATTCATTGCACCTCCATTGTACTGGTGTAGGCATAATTCTCAAAGGTGGATATCTCAAAACCTGAGCAAAATCAAACTGAAACTACAGCATTTGCATCGCTAAATACATTTAGTGGTATGTAATTTGCATGAACTGATCCTTTAATCTGTGCGTAATAACCATACGTATCATTACGTATCACATAGAGATAAGCTCCGCCCATACCTTGCTCTCTGGGACGCCAGCTCCGACAACCAGCACCAGACCACAGCTACTATTACAATCATTCCTATGAAGGGGATGGAGAGAACAGGGTGCTCAGACGCATGGATGAATCTCTGAGGAGGAAATAAAAACAAACACAAGGACCATGGAAATGAAGGGAATGAATGAATAGATGGACTGAAGTAGCCAAATAATAAACACAGATAAAACAAATGTGACAACACCACAAAAGGAACACCACTACAAAAATCACTAAAGTAAAGGTGTGACATGGTCTATGGCTGTGATAAAAAAAAGGGGAGGGACTGTGATGGAGTGATTTACAATTCTTATTAAACAAACAATGCATAACTTTATGGTGACATACACATCAAGTCAATGGGAGTGTATGTGAGCAGTCCTGTGTGACATTTACTGGCTGCATGTGATGTTATGGTGACAAAAAAAGGAAAGACATACAGCATGAATGTTGTGACTAGCATATATGGTGGTATTTTTGTCCCTCTATCCTCATTTTATAGTTCATTTGTTTATATGTTTTTTAAATTTGCTGTTAAACAGGCTGAGAGGTCATGGACATTCAGAGAACAAGGACAGCATCAGAGACAGGCACGGGTAGACAGTTTGACACAACGCAGAGACATCTCATCATGGCTGTTGTAGACAAAACACTAGGTTGTTTTTTTAAAATAAAGATAAAGGACCTTATTAGACCATACACCACCAATTTTCCAAAACAGCATATTTTTGGGGTTGTTTTTGATTTGTTTGTTTTTGGATGTATATTTCTATCCCTCGCAGGGAGTCACTGGTGTCCATTCTTTTTAAAATTGAAGGAAAATCAACTTGCTGAACAGTTAGTCTGTCTTTGTGAGGCAATGCAGCTGAAACCACAGATTGTCCTGGGATTGGTGCACTGAAGTGCCACACTGCCCTGCATTCACAATCTGTGTTATCAGAAAGTTCAATACAGAAGACGAACAACAAGCAAATATAGACGTCATAAAAATGACAATGAATTTGGTAGCTGTAGCTTCTTGCATTAATCTTTCCCATGAGCACTTGAATACACAAATCATTTCAAAGCTATCCATGCTTTCAAACAAATGCAACAAGTGTAACTGTGACTGAAGTAAAACTGGCCATGCTGTTAATTGTTTTAATTACCTATTTCAGACAAGTTTCATTTCACTGCATGACTTTCATGCAGCAACTCATTATTAAAATGAACAGAAACCAGTCTTAAGGGTTGGAAAAACGCATTTAAAAAATCTAAAGATAACAAGGTTCTTTAATTACTTTTTTCTATTGAACAATATCTGAAGCTCACATAGTGGTGAAATAGGCATTCGTTGCTTGATGGCTGAATGCCTTTTTGTAGATTTTGTGTTTTTGTCCAACAACAGTATTTAAGCATTGCAATCACAGAGAGGTAAGGACACAGACACAGTGGGTACTGATATGGGCTGACTGGCCAAGTCAGTTCATATCAAAACATATATTGCTACAGTATGAGACACATATAAAGTGGGCTCAACACACATGGGATACAGTAGGTGTGATGTGAGGTGTGTTATGTGTTAGTTGACAGTGTGGGTGCAAAGACACATTTTCACAATTTTTTTCTTTAAGTTTCCTAAAGACCGTGAAAAATTGTATAACATTTAATTCAGTTTCCCTTCTTCTGATACCAGTTGTATACTACTAAGTTATTCATGTCTGCCCCTCACCTGAGCCCCCCCTGACAGCTTCTCCAGCTCTGCCTTGCAGCGCTGCAGCTCCTCCTCCAGCTCTGCTCTTTCCCTCTGACTACTGTCATACAGTACCTGCAGCTCCTGCAGCTCCATCTTCAGACCGTCACACTGGAGGACACAGAAGTCAAACAGTCAGTCTTGAAAACCAAATGTATTGTATTTGATTGTCTTTATTTACCCAAAATCAAAAAGAATGTTCTAATCATGCACATGTCCGTGTTTTATTGATATTTCTAGTCTTTTCCCATCATACCTCTCTCTGAACCTGTGAGGCCTTCTCCTCGGCCTGTTTCAGCTGGTCCCTCAGGGAGAAGATCTCCCCCACGCCTCCATTCCAGCCGGTCGGTGTCATGGGCTTCCCATCAAATGAGATATTCTTCTGGATGGAGGCGTCCACCAGGCGACAGTTCTCAGACTGGGCCATGGTCATGTAGCTCTCTGTCATGACTTCGTCTGAGCCGGTTTCCGTCTCTTTCCCCTCTGTGTCCTCCCCTGCATCTTCCTCTTTCAGTGACAGATAGACACTGGAGCTGTGAGGTGGACGAAAGGAGTAATGATAAAGAATACAAAACACTTCCAATGTTTCAGCTGAAATATCTCAAAATGGGCTCCAGATGTGTTTATAACTTCAATTATCAAAGGCCAGACATGTTTGCTATAGTATTTTATGTGATTACCAGAGACCTAGTCATTATTATTTCCTCTGTGTTGTCACACACAGTGTACAGAGATGCCAATACAGCATACACACAGTCTGATAACCAATAGAGACACTGTTTTTTCAATTGATCATTATTACATTATTTCTGTTACAGTTGTTTTGGTATCTAGTCAGCCTTGTAATAGGACTGCAACTAAGAATCATTGTCATCTTTCATTAGTCAAATTGTTTTTTTTAGTTTCTTTATAAAACTTTCACAGTTTTATCAACGGTTTGTTTTTTCTGACTAACAGTCCAAAACCAAAATTTAATTTCTTTAAATTAAATTGATAGAACAATCTCACCACACTCCATTTAATAGCTGTTCCAGTAATCATAGTTATGCTGTTGTTGTTTATCAAATCTGAAGTTTCCTTTGGCTTTTTCTTATTTTATGATATTTTGTGGTTATACACTTATTTCTTCCTGTTTTATCGATTGTCCTCTCCGTCCCCTCTGTTTCCCTTTTCCCTTTTCTTTTTCTTGTAAATGCTATAAATAAAGTTTTTGATGCATCACAAGATCTTCAGCAGATGGAGTTTGCTCAGTTCTCCATCTGCTGAGGTAGATCATGTGATGCGTTCAAAAACACCAGAGCAGCTACTAAATAGATCTTGTGGGGAAACTGCTTTCAAGGTCAAGAATGAACTTTGAGTCTCAAAATTGCTCTTGATTAATTTTCTATCAATGCTCCAATCACTGAACCAACTAATGGTTACAGCACTCATGTGTGATCCCTCATATGATGCTACAAATCTACTGCGCTCATTAAACAGGTGGCCAGTATTTTCTAAATGAGACGTAACGTGAATTTCTGTGATGAGGGGTTGTATTCCAGAGGGTATCCCCCCCAGCTGATCCAGTAAGCGCAGCTGATGAGGGAGCAGCCATTGACCTCTCACCATGTCCTCTGTCTCTGCAGCAGCTGCAGCCTCTCAGAGAGACGTCTGTTGTCCTCCTTCAGGGTCTGACACTCCTCCTTCAGCATACGGCACTCCTCCTTCAGCAGGTCCACGTCACCTGACGGAGCAAGGAAGATCAGAGATGAAGATATTTAAAGAGGATGCAGCTCAGCAGAGCTCATCTTTAATCTCACTGCTTGAGCTTTTAAAATCATTACAGCATGCGTAGAGTATATTAGAGGAATAGTTCAACAAGATGAGAAGCTTGATGCTGCTCTCATATGTCTTTTATAGTGCTACAGCTAGCCTGGCTCTGTATAGAAGTAACAGAACTCACCTACCAGCACTTCTAAAGCTCATTCATTAAAATGTTATATCTTGTTTGTTTAAGAACCGTACAGAGGTGTCAATTCGCAGCTGGACTATATCGTGGCCAGGACCAGTTGCAGGAAGTGTGTCTCCGGGAAGTGTGTCTCCCCAAAAAGTTGAACTATTCCTTTAAAATGGATCTCAACTGTGACTTAGGTTACAGTTGCGTACAAAATAGATTTTCTGTGATGTTCTCATGAAAGAGCACAACAATTACATAATATGAGATCTTCCCCTCCCTCAGTCCCACCCGAGGCTCAGCTGCAGAGCCCAGTGGTGACATCATGTGTCGGAAGTGTATGTCCCACCCCCTAATGACTTCATGTCCCCGGTATCCTAAGTGCACACACACACACACCCACACACACGCACGCACGCACGCACGCACGCACGCACGCACGCACGCACGCACGCACGCGCACCCACATCCACACAAGTATGGGCCACTATTTGAAGTGATTTTGAAAAGCCAAACAGAAATATAAACTTTTTGTTTGAGCTCCTCTTTCACAAGATAACTTCAGCTTTTGTAATTACTTAAAAATGGTTTAAAAGGTTGCACATTTTACATTTTTAGTTTTGACATCTGTGGTTTAAAGCACCAAAAACCATCTCTATGTAGTTTCACATCTCCTCTCTCAAACTTCTCGCTAGAGCTCTAGTAACAACAGGTTGGTGAGCCAATCAGAGGAGAGGCTCAGAGCCTCTCCTCTGTTTGGCTGATTGACTGGCTAACTGTTTTCTAAGTGATCTAATAAAAATCTAGCAGATCTCAGGTAAAAACTCGGTTGGACAGCGGGCCAGGGTTGGGGCATGGCTGAGGGCGCTGACTGCTTTATTGTTACATCACAAAGTTATGGAAGTCTTTGAATATGGGCTGTGTGCAGTTCTCTGTGGACTGAGCATTAGTATTAATAGAGAACCTAGACTTGCTTTATAATCTAAAAAGACTTGGAAATCTCACTTTCTACAATATGGGACCTTTAAACATCCTGCTTTGACAAATATTCTGGCAGTAATCATATTGTTTTGCACTCCACTAGCTCTAGAGTGTCTGTCTAAAAATATATATATATAGTGTATACGGCATTTTTTTAAAATTTGTCTCAACTTCACATTTTACTAAAACATCAGCTGCTTGTGATTTTCCATAACACAACAGAGTGAGCTTTCTCTGAGCTGATAGGTGCTCAGAGAGACTCCCAGTGTGAAGGGGACTTGGTGGCGCAGTGGGTTTGTTCCTGAATGTTTTCCATACCTGGAGCATCAAAACCTCTCACCCAGCAGAGGGTGACGGGGGGGGCTTCGGCCTCCCCTGACTTCCACATAGATAGAGGCAGGGAGTTATGTTCTGGAAAACCATGAGTGGCTAATGTTTGCTGCAATGTGAAGGAGAGATTTGAGAGAAGAGTGTGTATATACTCTATGTACACACAACGGGTAATTTTAATGACTATATGACAGTGGCCCTGCCGTGTGTCTCTGCACCTCCTGTAGCCGTACTGGGAGGCCCTCTGTTCGATAGGATCACACTCACACAGACACACCGCTCCCCTTGCAACCCTCTGCAGGGTGCTGACATGATGTGAGCAAAGAACAAGAACAGTCCTGAACATCATGCCTTGTTTTCATAGCAGCAGGGACAGAGACCTGGGCTATTTCTGCTTGTAGGGAACTGGACATATTCCATGGCACAAGCAGAGACAGGAGGTGTTTGTGTTTTTTACTGTGCCCTTCTCACTGATGGCTGTTTACACAAAGTGTGAAGACGAGGTGTAAAACCAAGACTTATTGTATTTTAACTTTGATGTACTGTAACTAAAACAAGGTCATATGGGAGGTGCGGTCTAATGAAGCCACTTCCACCCTCTGTCTTTCATCCCTCTTCTTTGACATCCATCTATACACTTAGTGTTTTTTCTCCTCCATTAATACACAGATCTCTCCCCTCCATCCTCCTCATCCCTTACCCTCTCTCCTCTCGGCCTCCCTGCGCTGACTCTTCATGCTGATCTCGGCCCTCAGTGTGGTGATCTCCAGCTCATACTCCTGGGTCTCCTCACTGAGGCGCTGCAGCTCTGCGCGCCGGCGACACAGCTCCTCCTGCAGCGAGGCGATGTCGTTCTCCCTCTCTGCCGCCGCCTCCTCCGCCGCCTGCTGGAGAAGAAGCACCTCCTCCTGAGCTGCACGAAGCTCCTCCTGGGCCTCAGCCAGCTCGCTCTCCTTCTCCTCCTCCAGACTGTCCATCTCCTCCTGCACAGAGCGCAGCTGGGCTGTGTGGAGAGGAGGAGGAGAATGAGAGGTTTTCTTTATGGGGAGATGTGTGGGTGAGAACGCAGCATCAGTATGGGTGTGTGTGTCTGTGTGTGTGTGTGTGTTTGTGTGTGTCTGTGTCTGTGTGTGTCTGTATGTGTCTGTGTGTGTATGTGTGTCTGTGTGTGTCTGTTTGTGTCTGTGTGTGTATGTGTGATCTCACCTGAAGTTTTGCAACAGTGGGCCTGCATGTGTTTGTCTGTGTGGGCGGTGTGTTCCTGTGTGTGTGTGTGTGTGTGTGTGTGTGTGTGTGTGTGTGTACATGCTGTATGTGTGGGTACTCTTTGAAAGAGGTGCTGATGTAACTGATGGTAACAGACTTGTTCTTTCAGGGTCAGATTCTGATTATTAGTTTAGTATTTTCAGGAAAGGAAACTCTTCTCTATCTCTCATAACAACAAGAGCAAATCTGACAGTTTACAACCATTTTTGCTGTAATATAGTGCAGTATACACAATATAGTGTGTATTATAGTAGTACTATTTTTTTTATCTTCTTTTTGTTTTCTTGTTCATTATTCCTTAATTAATTTTTCATGCTTGTATTCAGAACCATTATCCTTGTTTTTTGGAGGGATTGTATTAAGACTGGCGTGTTTTATTCACCTCCTCATAATTAAGCACATATTCCATTAAGGTGTTTTTGAAGAATAATTATGTATCCGTGTGAATGATTTCTTGATTTGCTTATATATCTACTTACATGTAATGAAAAAAAATAGTCATAAAAAAGACATTGCCCCCAATTCAGTTAGCAAAATGATTGCAAGCATTAAACATGTTCTAGTCAATTACATCCCAATATACTCAATGTAGCTCTTTCTGTCTGCGACTCTTCATTAGAGACAATAGAAATCCAGAAGATGAAAGTCCTGTTGATTACTGCTAACAAACTGTTCGTCATTGGCAGCTTACAAAGCAAAGCTATTGACAGACATAAGAAGCGAAATATGCAATGTGTGACTTCGATTTCTGAGTATTCTTCCTGTTTCCATTATTGATAAATCAAATGAAATAGTTATTGTTACTGTCTGGGTTCATCAAAGAACAGAAGTTTATTGCTGAAGTTTATTACCTTGTAGATTCTGGATCTGGCGTGTGAAAGCTTCAGCCTGATGAGCACTAGCCAGACGCTCATCCTCCAACAGACCTGGTGGAGAGGTGAGATGAGGTGAGGTGAGGTGAGGAGAGGAGAGGGGAGACGAGGAGAGGGGAGACAAGGAGTGCGGAGTGGGTAGAGAGATAAGAGGAAAATGTCAGTTCAGTGGACCAATAGAAAGATGACAACTTGATAAGCTGTTCAACCTTGAGGAATGACTGAATGACACGAGCAGTTTTGTGTGTGTCTGTCTGTTGAATACAATGTGAGCAGGACAATCAGAATAGTATTAGAGTTGTTATTCATTCATAAAATATCCATTTTATTAGACAGTGAATCTAATAACTTTAAAGGACAGCAGAACAAAATAAAGAAGATTATTTTACCTGCTATTTTTGCATATCTATATCTTTTTGGTTTTATTTAGTGTGTGTCATGCCAAGTGACTTTGTCTCTCTTCAGGCGGATTCACTAGTGGTTGCTGTTGCTACAACCCGGACTGAAATACCTCAACAAATACCTGCCCAACTGAGATTCCCATCTGCCGCAGCTGTACTTTGTGTTTACTGCTAATTACCATTGATATTAGCATGCTAACACGCTAAACTAAGATGGTGAAGAAGGTAAGATTATACATGTTTAACATCAGTGCACTAGCATTTAGCTTATTAAACCACTGTTGTACATAAAACCCTTACAGGGACACTAGCATAAGTTGTTAGTTTTAAATGTTTAGTTTAACTGACTATCATGAATTCACATGGGGATTTTCCAAAATATAGGAGACTTTGTTTATGGAAAAACATTGCTTTTGAATGTCGTCAAAATATTTTTTCAATACTGTGAGTAACACAAACAAAATTCCATTCACCCACATCATATTGGTTTGGGGACAGAAATATCAAACTAAAACTACAATATCTGCATGGCTAGACATCCAGGGGAAAATGAGAAGATATAGTTTGAAAATACATTAGATATCGATATCATTTGGTGTAATGTGTCGATGCCTCTTTTATCAGCAACATCCTGGCAGATTCTCTGATGTTTGGCCTCATTGTCATTCTTCTGGTCCTCTTTTCTTGTCTTTTCCAGATTTTTCCAGCTCAAACCTTCTAGTCACAGCCATCGTATTACAACCAGTATGTAACTGGTGAGTGTAGTGCAATCTATAGCCATAGATCTATCCATGATCTTTACCTACACCTCAGCTTACGTCATTCTCTGACCATGTACGCTGTGGACCCCCACCACCACTTCCAACAGCTGCCAGCAACCTGAGCAGCCGAACTTTCCCAGTGGGAGTCGACCAATGGTGATTTCTCGTTGTGGTCTAGGACACCCAGTCTGGAAGCTTCCCTCAGCATGCATGCAGTTGTCTGAGGAATGCCTCCACTGCTGCCAGACAAACAACTGAGCTCACTGCGCCATGTTTTTTAGTAGGACACACAGTTATATACACTCACTCATACACACATACACACTGAGCTCACTGCAGCGCCATACCTAAGGCCTTACTCACTGCTCGTGTCCCTGAACATTAAGCTCATCATTTCTAAGACATGATGTGATGCTCCGTTTAGCGGCTATGAGGAGCTGGCTGTGTCAGTGACCGCATATAAACATTTACACTTCTACATGTTCAGCTCAATTGTGATGAACAGGCGATGTCTTGGCTGGAAGGTTAAGTTGTCCAGGACGGGTGCAGGGCTTTTCTTTAGTCACTGTGTGACGTTGTTGCGATGTGGGGAACTTAACAAACATGGCCAGAAGAACAATGTTGATCAGTTGTAGCAAACAACATGTTTCACAAAAGCGATTTGTGAGCACTGCTTACACCAGAGTCGTCAGTGGTGGCAGCATCACCTTTCACAAATAACTGTCACCTGAAAATGACAAATACATTTCGAAGCCTGGGAGGAGTTGTGCCAAAACTAACATGACAGGAAATCATCTCATATTGTAAACTTCAACTTGCATATTGAAAATTGGGGAAATGGGTCCCTGCATTGAATAGCATATTCACTTCTTTCTCAACTTGTCAGCCTGGCTCTCACACTGGTTTCTATTGATTCTGCACCAGACCACAAGTATATGGTTAGTGTGTGCGCACTTAATTGCAAAAGTAAGACACAAGCTACACACTGTGCAGATTGCAAATTTCAGTTGTGGCTAGTTGCTCTACAACTGCCACAGTTTGCTAAAGCAGATACAGGGATTTCCAGGAGTTTAAGTTGGACTAAAAATGAATATTTAATTTCTGTTGAACTGAATATTTTTAGTGGGCTGTTGTTGCTGCAGCGACTTGCTCTAATTGTTGATATTCTTGCCAGTCTGCATTTCATAAATCTCTATAGCAGAGGTAGGGAGTGAAATGCTGTCATGACTAATGTCCACAATGGATAAAAATATGCGAATAAGACTCAGGTTGATGAATGGCAGAATTTCCCGTTAAATGCCATAAAATTTGCCAAGGTTGGCACCATTCAGAGTATGTGGTGGGGTGATGGAAGATGCATTGGGTGTGTTAGGATTAGATCTTGATTTATGGTCACATGGCTGTTTGTTAATAATGGATAAAAGATTGTTATAAAGGAAGATTAATGATTCATGGCATTAAAAAATGAATGAAGAGTCTCAGTGGTCTCACCTTGCAGCTCGTGGAAGCTCTCCTGGTGTTTGTTGGACGTCTCCCTGGCATCCTCTAGCTCCAGCAGCATCTGCAGCACTTGGGCCCTCAGCTCCTCCAGCTCCTGCTCCTCTGTCAGTGGCTCCTGCTCCTGCTCCTGCTCCTTCCTCTTCTTCTCTTCCCCTTCGCCTTCCTCCTCCTTCAGCTTCTTCTCTTCCCCCTCCTCCTCCTCCTCCTCCTGAGCTCTCTCCTGGTCCATCTCCTCCTTCTCGTTGTTCTCCTCCAGGACGCCTCTCTCCTTGGCTGTTATCTCGTTGTCCATAGTGGGGCTGCTTTCTGCTTTCAGATCGCACGGGTCATCTAATGGAAAGATGACAGCGTATATTAGAGAGGGATGCCTGGTAGAGAAAGAGAGGGAGACAGACAGGGAGATTTACAGGTGACAAACCCCTCTTTCATCAGTCATGCTTTAAACGCAGCATAGATTGTGCTTTCCTTTGAATCAACAGCACCATCTTGTGATTAAACTTGCACTGCGTCCATTGCACACCCGCCTCTATTCGACTCATGTACCCTAATTTAACGCGCTGCAAAATAACAGACAACCCCTTCAGGAGATTAGAGCTGAGACTGTGATGGAAAGGAAACAAGAAAATCATTCACTAGGGGAAACATAAATCAGAATATATGCTGAAAACTGTCAAAGCGTGTCACAGGTTACATACCATTTGGAAGTGAAATGAAAGGACGAATATGTTAACACAAGTTGACGACTGATTCAGAATTTTAATGCACATGTACACGACACACTTTGTTCTACATTCCTCAATCTGCACTGTGGATTTCAATTTTTCAACCAGTAGGTGGAGTGAGTTAGCTGACATAATGCGGAGAGAGAGGAGGGGGGAGGTGGACCAGTATGCTGAAGCAATCACTATGACTCACCACCCAGCAATGCACCCCAAAGTCCATAATAACACAAGCTACTACTCATAGTAAGAGACAAACAGACGTCTTTCTCACATCACACTGTGTCACATCACAAGTTTTTTGGGGGCTTTTTTTGTGAAGGTTTTCCTCATCCTTGTAGACAGCCTGGCCTGGTTCAGGAGCTGTTGTTAATGTGGGCCTGTAAAGCCTAATGGGACATTGTATATGATGTAGAGCAATGCAAATAAACTTGATTTGACATTACCACAGCTCTAGCAAGCAAGAGCCGCGAAGACAAATGCAGAGCAGGTCAGAAAGCGCGAAGGGTAGGCATCGTTTGCAAGCACAACAACACGACAGCAAATTCCCATTTGAAGTTTTTTCCCATTAGTCAGATGAGATTCGCTGTGAAAGGCCAGAGCTAAATGGAGATTATATTCACAGTGCTGGTTTGTCCTCAGGAGTTGTTTTAAAGGTAAACCATCACTTGTGTCCCATTTTCAGTCTCATCCGATTAAATTCTGCTTACATCACGCACACTGGCCTGCTATCCTCTCTCTCATATCTCTCAATAACCTTAACATAAATTGATATGTAGCATCGCTCTTTCATGTTGGAGTGGTCTCCAAGTGCCTCAAAATTGCTGCTTGTGCTCTGGGGGCAGCGTGAGGATGAGCGTGGGGAACGGTGTAGCCGGAGACAGAATAAAATTAACTAAAGATCTATCTAATTAAGAGTGATGCTCACCGGTGTAATCTTAGCTCAGGGGATGCCTCTAATTTCTTGTGGTAATTATTTCTCTGCCTTGTTGTTCCCTTCACAAGATGTGACTTATTTCCATCAAAACCGCACCACATTTTCATCATATCTGTATGACATTAGCTGCAGCCTCATTTTCTCCTCTCTCATAATAACATTAATTTAAACAATGCGGCCCCTGAGAGGAGTGCGAGAGGTTTCATGAGCGCTGGGCTATTTTGTCATTAAACTTTGATGCTGCTGTAATGAGTTAGTCATAAAGAAGAGAGCTGAGGCCGTGTGGCAGGGTAGAGAGCCGGAGCTGCTTGTATAGCCGCGGGCAGCTAAAGGCCATCAAGAGACAAAAGACTTCCCATTGAATATCACTCATATCCAAATCCTTCAGGGATGTCTAGCTCAGGGTGTAATAACTCTAAGCTTTGGCTCGACTAAATTGCGCTGTGTTTTTGTGCTTTGGCTTTGTAGATGCAGTAATCAGAGTGTCTTCCAGTGGACACGAACTACAGCTGATCAGGAAGAAACAGTAAGTATTGCACACTTCTGTTGGGCATTGAGAATCTGTTACGGAAATCCTTTAATACTGGACAGATGTAGTGGGCAACAAACCCCTTCTTAACTTTGTTCAACTTACTTTGACAGCATGTCGAAAAAATAATAAGTCACTATCATAATATGATAGTGATGATATGATATTATGGTACCTCTAAACAAATTATTCACCTACTATCTTTTCCAATGTTCCCATAAGCCCTGCTAATCATTTCACTCCTTAAAGAAGCTTCATCACCTAACCTTGTGAGTGAATGTCAAACACACTGCGCAGAGGAATCGGCTGCCATGACACCTGTGATCACTCCACTGCATACTTGGCACAGTGCTGGTCTTTAGCCACGCTGGGATTGCATTAGACATGGACACTGCATGCATACAAGAGCAGGGCAGGAGACTCATCTGAGGAGCAGTGTTACAGCTCCAGGGAGAGGATGGCTTTATCTAGCCACAGCACATTCCTTCATAATCACATTGCAGCAAAACACATTGAGTATGTCAGTGCAAACATTGTGCCTCTTTAGAAAAAAAAAAAGACAACAAACAGGCTGAGTGTTCTTTGTCAGCATCTCAGAATAGCTGTCTGAGATCAAATTTAAACATTAATGTGACAACACAAGCCCTTTGTTTTTCTTCCGACTTGGTGTTCAGTGATGGAGTGAGGAGTGTAATCAAATTTGCTCTTTGCAAAATTGAGGAGCGGAGTGAGGATTTTAGCAAACAGATGCATTCTGGGAGAGGGATGGATGTCAAACATGAGAGTTGTTTTAACCTGGCACTGCAGGGAGGCTGTTTTTTCATAACACAACCAGTGGGATCCAGCAGTTTGAGTAACAGTTTTGTATGCAGCAATATACTGAGCAGGATATGTCTGCATAAGGAGTTCTCATTTTACCTTCACTCCAGTTTTCATACTGCTTTATGTAATAAGCTGCAATATGATTCAAAATAGAACTTCTCTAAATGAGTCTCTACTATTCTCTCCCCATGACTGCTAGTTGAATATCTAATTTTACTGTATTGAGAGAAACATCAGGTGTCCAATCAAAACAACGGCTCACTGAAACAGCTGCTGGAGGCTTTCTACAGGTGTGGCGTAATGGGTACTGGTGGAAGTGTTAGTGTTTCTTGTGTGCATGTGATCCTCTGTGTAAAGTGTATGAATGCGGCATGAGTATAAACTGTACGTGAACACCTCTGTATGATCATGTTCTTGTACCTGTGTGCCACACCTGGTGAGCCTATGTAAATACATATGATCACACAAGTCTGCTATGTTTAAACTGCATGTGTTCAGTATGTACATGATCTGCTGCAGCTGTGTAGGAGGCCATGCATAATGCACACCGCCCCCTCCTACCCCAGCTTTGAAGCCACCCCAGCACTGATGTTGTAGCTTTTCCCCTGCACTGGCACACTTCCTCCCCAACACATCGCACGGAGCGGGGGGGGGGGGTCGTAAAAAGATGGAGAGACTGAGCGGAGCAAAAAAGGAAAGGAGAGGAAGACAATAAGGGAGATGCAAGGGAGGAGAAGGAGTTATGATATGGCCTGAGGGGGCTCGAGCTGCTCTCTTCCTCATGAAACTAGCACTGAAACTAGCAAGAGTCAGAGGAAGACATACACTAGATTATCTCCATGGTGACCTTTGCACACCAGCAACACAGGGCTTCATCACCCAGGTGATACAGCTGTGTTTCTATCCACAGTTTTGCTTACCACAGAACCCTCTCTGTCTGCCATTTGCTTTTCCCCATAGAGAAGCCCAAGTGATCTTATCAGGTGCCCCCTCATGAAGCCCACATGGTGAGGTCACCATCATGTGAGATTTGCTGACTTCAAACTGCGTGAGACGCAACAGCTTGACATGAGGAGTGAGCTGCAGGGGTGAAGGCCTCATGAGGTTAATGTGAGTTTATCTCTTTTTCTCTCTCTGTTCTCTGAGCTCGAAAACTCCAGGGAGGAGAGGAACAACAGCGGAAGGAGAGGACAAGAAAAGAAACAGGAACCACAAGCACCCGAGAGTTGGGTTGACTTAATGAGCTGCTCTGTTATTTAAATGGAATATCCATGTTTGCACTTTCAAAGGGAAATAAGAGAAAGTGGGTCAACAGAGTAGAAAAGCGTCACAGAATGTGCAATAATTTGGCCTCATTAGATGAGCATGCACAAAAACTATGTCAGTGTATATATACTATAGTGACTGATTCAGGGAATATGCTTTTTTTATAGGAATGTGTGTGTGTGTGTGTGTGTGTGTGTGTGTGTGTGTGTGTGTGTGTGTGTGTCTGTGCGTGCGTGCGTGCGTGCGTGCGTGCGTGCGTGCGTGCGTGTTGTTTAGCTACTCCGATAGGGGATAATGAATAGTGACAGAGAGCAAAGCATAAAAACAAGTGATGCGGTAATAATCCATTTGATCACAAATCAGTGCTTCCCACCTGAAAGCAATCTCCCTGGAAGGTTTGACATCGCTTAAATCACAGAGGAAAGAGGGGATGCCACAGCTCACTATGTAGCTGCCAGTTCCACAAAGGATAAAGACCCAGAAGGAGAGAGAGGGAACACTAATTAGAGGTTGACAATGCAGAGCATTTCTGTAAGGGAGAAGAAAAGTTGAGAAAAATCCATAGAATAAGCTGCAGGAGGGAGCCACATGAATTCATGAACATTCACCTGAAAGTTTTAAGAATTTTTTTCCATTATGCAACCAAGAGAGAATAAAAGAACATTCAGTTTTGTCAGGGACCTGCGGAGTGCTTTGAAAGCCATTTTTTAAAATGAAGTACTAAAGTCTGGTGGGGAAAAAGGGAATGTCACATTGTAGGGCTTCAGGGCTGAGAGAGAGGGAACCGGGACACCTGAGGGTGGAGAAGCATGTAAGATTAGTTCTCATTTTGCCCCATAATAGGTCATGTTAAACACTGAAGATGTGAGAGTCTCAC